TTACACACTGATGCATGTATGATTAGTTCAGTGATTATGACATTTTCAACAAAATACTTATGAATTACATTCATGTTATTTGATCTAAAATACCACCTAAGAGATCTTAAATTTCATAAATAAGATTCTTGTGGGGGTACTGTACAGAATTATGAACACGTTTAATGGCAAAAGGCAAAACAAAATGGCTTTTTATCATTACATAGGTGATAACGAATACAAAAATTGGATATATTATTGAAGCCCTTTTACACAAATAACTTTCATAATTTGACTACTGTATGAATAGATGTTATTAACAAGTTAATTTTGAAAATATGATTCTCTAATCAACTCAAGGCTATGCTAATTTATAAGAAATTAATTAGGTAGTTTAGCACTACAACTCATTAGATACTCTGTAGCACAAAATAATTATCTCTCATAAATACCTACAAATATAATTTATTCACAATTCTAAATATTTTAAAATTTAAATAAAAGTATCAAATGTAGATTATCTGAGCTAACTTCATGAATGTCTTAAAAATAAACGTTAGCATGAATATATTTCTATTGATGTTATTTTAAATATTCTTAATAGAAGAGGCATATGAAATTGGTACACCAAAGCTAAGTAGCATGATACAGCTTATGGTTATTTTCCTTATTGGAAAAACATACTATACTTGATTTTCTTTGCATAGGATTAACACCGGCTATATTTTCTACAAACTTACAACTTCTCAGGGACACTTCTTAAAACAGCTCAGGGAACAACTCTTCACTGTTAGAAGTGTCTCCTGTCACTTCCTTATGTGTGGCAATAGTCAAATTCAGTCCCACTTCTCAGGCCAGAAAAATGATTTAAAAAGAAATGATTATAAAAAGCAACAGGAAAATAAGCCCTGAACTAGTAAAACAAAGTGATTAAAAGATAATTATAGCTTTGCACTTTTAGAAAAAGGTCTTTAAACATTTAGAATTACAATCAATACATTGACTCTAAAAGGAAATATTGCTATTTAAAATAACATTTGCATCTTTTCCATATTTTCATGTTTGTTTTTTCATAGGTCTCATTTGTTCATAATAATAATTTCCCTTATATTATTGATTACTTCTATGCATGCAACCATATTTTTTGATAGCCATCTAACTTTTCAAAATATTATACTTTCACTTGTATTATACTTTTGTATTTGTAGTTCTTCTTTTGAGTTCTTATACTAGGGAAACTATATGATATTTACACATGTGTGTCTGGTTTAATACAAGTAAAAGGAAAGCAGGATCTCGAGGACTAACTAATCAAGAGAGGGAAAGGAGAAGAGTTAGGAAACATGACAATGTCAAGTCATACAGTTATATGTAGAAGATTGGCAAGGCAATGATCCTGAGAATCTCCAGAAGATTTTTTTAATCTAGCAGTTAATTGGAAAGATTCTCACCCTGACTAACTATATATACTGATACCTGTGAACTAAGCTACTGCACTCCAGATGGTAATTTGT